TTATGCCACATCCACACCAAACTGATACATCAACTTTAGCAGACACGCTAAGCAGTCTTGTTGCCACTGTAACAACAACAATAATAACAATATTCAGTTGTGCTTTTGTTTCGGAACTCAATCTTTAGATATTCCAACACCGTAATGGCCAGCACTACACTCTTTTCATTCTACAGTAGTTAAGATTATGAACACAAATTATATTCGAACTGTATGCAGTTCAGTTCAGTTCTGGTTAATGTTGACCATCTTGATATACTGGTACTATAAATGTAGTAAACCACCTAATCAGGGCAGTTTGCAATGAGTACATGTAAGAAGTTCTAACTTAAATTTCCGCACACAAAAAAGCATCAGTCAAAAGTATATTCTTTCATGATCTAAATATAGTTAACAAAGTAACAATAAATTCAGTTTGGAACAACAATGCATTTAGTCATTTTGACAATTATCTTCCCACTTTGACTTCCTAAGTCACTCTTTTTTAGAGCCAACATGATAATGTTAATTTCACGATCTTTATCGCATTTTATTTGTCACACGAAAATGTCAGTGAATGAATTGAGGATTTTAGCACTTGTTCAAGATTTGACACTTTTTTTTCTGTTATTATTAACACTGTTTAGAACTCCTAACTTGGTTTGTAATTAGGATGCAGTTAATAATCAGATATTAACAGTAAACTTACCTCATCCCATTCTTGTTCTGATGACACCTGCAATGTTCCTGACATGAAGACATGGAACAAATGTTTCAGTGCACCGTGTGTTACAAACTACCAACAAAAGAAAATAATAATTATATACCGGTAATGCAGTGTAAACAACAGACACACCATAGAATGTCATTCTTTATCATGTATGTGTTGCACCATCTCATTGCACTATTGATTCAGAGAATAAAAGATGGCCCAGTAACGAATGAACAAACTAAATACAAACCCGAAATGACAACTCACAGTTTGCATCCAGGCATTAGCATCCTCATAACCAGCTTCAGTGTCAATTCGACTAGAATAAGCTTCACCAAATGAACCCTACGTCCAAAAAAAGAGAAATTATTTGAAAAAATCAATTCAAACAAGTGTGATTGGAAATTAACACATCTCTGAATACACCTTATCGTCATTCCTACCTTAGTATCCAGAATTCCAAACTCAGATTTACTACCCATTGTGGAATCACCACCTCCCACACTAGCCTAGAAGGAAGCAAAGAAAGCAAGCAAATTGAAACCTGCACTACAGCAAGCATGGGGCAATTACAACTGACACTTATAAAGCTTAATGCACACAAAGGGCATGAAATGATACAGGGAAAGCATGGCGGAAACAACAGTACGAAAGATTACAGTGATTACATTTATGAGATTGAACATAAGAATAATACTTTAATAGCAAGTATAATCACATGCAAAACTTGTGTGCACAATTACCTATTTGCACTAGTAAAGTTTAATTTTGCAGAAATATTTTATTTATAGGATACTGCACAGTATAAGTCTCTTACACAGGATTGGGAGTAAAACGTTTACTCCATCATCTCAAACTTTTATATGGTGTGAATTTTAATATTACCAATATCATCATTTTCAGGGTACAGATATTTCTAAAAGTTATTTGTATTACAAAATTTGTGGATATGAACCACTGAATTTGTTTTGTTTTTGTACCGTGTTACTATTAAGCAGAAAACAACATTAGAGCCTGTTGAATACACTGACAAAGTAATAACATGATATCCACTATTTTGTTTGTTATAGCTCCATTCTGTCATAATGTTAGGTAAATGGCCAGAGTACTGTCATATACAATGTAGTCTCAAACGTGGAATGTGTACATGGTAGCACTTGCAATTTGTACCCCAAGAAAGTACAAAGAAGTGTGACCCTTTGGAGGTCATGCACGAGGCCTATTGGAACAATATTGTATATTATTTTAACCTCTGTTTTAACACCATTTTCCATTGATGTCAAAGTTCAGATAAAACTTACCAATGATTTTGTCCTCTTCCTGTGTGGATTGGTTAATGCTTCAATTATATGCAGTGAATAGAGTAGTTGTTGTGGGTTCTCCTCACTCAGTAAATCACTCCAATCTACTTTACTCTCATCATTATTATCAGTATCGCCATCACCAGAATCCTGGAACAGTTTTCAAACAGAAAAAAAAATGAAATCAACACAAAACCATTAAATAATGCTGTAAACACTTAAGTATATAATATTTTCAATACTGATTTATAGTTTTACATTTACTGTATTTTCCAAGCAACTGGTCAAGCTACTAGATCCATCACTGAGTCATTCTTCACTGTTCACTGGTTGCTACATGATGTCCTTCACTCACATAATTTATTCATAACACTAGCATAATTCCCAATGAGCACTAACTACCAGTACACATTGTTACTAAATATCTTGAAAACCAAATGAAGTACATAGCTGAGTTTTTTTGGCATCACAAAGAGTGATGTCAATGCCCAGGTATGCCTGACAAATACTAAAGACATGTTAAAATATTGATTTTTGGTGTTTTTTGGTCAAATTTCATTGAAGTGAAAAAACATGAACATGTATACCTCACTACCATTATTACCTGTCATTTCAAACTTTGAATCAAATCAACACACACACAGACAGATGCACAGAGAAGGAATTTAAAATATAATTCCTCGTTCCAGACTAAGTTCAATAGGGACTAAAAAAGTAATAACATTGTGCAAACTTACTTGGCCTGACATAAGAGACTGGAATTTTCCCAATTTATCTGGACTTGTTGGAAGTAACATCAACAATTCCCACACTCTTCGTGACAATAGTTTGGCTTCCTTCCTGTTCATCTGAAATGCAAGTGAATCACTTTTAAAATGTTCATAACACAACAATAAAAAAAAAAAAATGTAAACAAATTCTGAGAAGTCAAACTTACCATGCAAATAGCTGTGTTGTTACCATGGTTATTTAGTTGTTGTAAGAGACTAAAAATTTGACTGAAGTGTGGTTCATGTAACAAAACCATCATTGGTAATTTCTCCCTTAGTGGTGCTGGCATACAGGAAGCAGGAAGTTGGATGCCTTCTCGTTTACGATCTCTTCTGATGTTGCCAAAAGATACAAACACCAGCTGCAATCATAGAGAGTAAATTAATATTGCATTTTGTTCAAACTACACATTGCATACAATATAACACTCACCAGTAGTTCTTTGAGTGCCATAATTTTTTCACAAAATGATGGTGCATCATTTTGCATATTTGTAAAGTATTTTTCTACAATTATTTTTACATTTTTTACCTTATGAACATAAGTTCACACTGGCTGGAGATCATGCTGAAAATTTTGAAAAATTTACTTCGACAATCAAAATCAACGGATGCAGAGAACACAGGAGATAATTTCAAAATTGAACATTGACATTGCTTCTCACCTGCATGTCTTTAAATCCAGTTTCAGTTAAAGATCTTTCATCAATATCAGGGGTTAATTCATGACCTAATGATATCATCCGAACAGGCCCTTGACCTGGCCCACCACCAACTGGCTGTGCTAACAACTGCGGTACCACCCCACCGAGTGACGAGGATGAACTCAATCGTCTACTGCCATTGTCTTTACCATCTCCACCCTTATCGTCTTGTTGATGGGTGACCTCACACCAGTGTGTGACCTCGGCTCTCAAGTCGGCAACTAAATCGTTACAACTCATTTCAATGGTCAACTGTAATAGTGGAATATAAGCCTAGCATAAACTTTATGAATTTAGGTTTTTTTTAATGAGAAGGAGAAATCAATGCATACAAAACAACTGCCTTTATAGTTTATAGGAAACAAATTTCTAAAGTGGTCTTTGTTCAGGAAAGCACATGCAAACTTATTTAAATGGAGTTAAAAATAATACAGCACTGAACACACAAAATAGAACTAGGTCTATTCTGTGCCTATCAACGCATCTTTACTGTACCTTATCAGACATTCCAGCCATCTGACAAACCACTCTCATGGTAGCCACGTTACCACTTAGATTCTGCTGATGACTTGAAATACCATTGCCTTCTAATTGCCACATACGTAAATGATATGCATATCTGAGTACCGGTAATTTAACAAAACAAAAAAAACCATCAGGATTTGACACACAGATGAAATCTCCATCAGCTTAGCATAATGTAATGGCGGCAGTAGCAGCACTAGCAGGGAATTGTTAAATAAGGGTCGGATACAAGATGAAGATTACAATTTGAAGTCGCATGATTATGATATGATCACAGAATCACAATACAAATGTACATTTCTAGAAATACTAAATGTGAATGTGAGTTTGTGAAAGAACTAGTTAGTATTCATCTTGGGCTTTGCTAGGGACTTATTAATATTAAACTTAGTTTTACTACCATGATCAATATTCACAGACCTGGTAATGTATGCATATTGAACTTCAATTACGTATTCAGAGTACTAGTAAATGTTTGCAAGTCCCACATACCATAAACTACTGTTTGTAGAAAAACGAATGTCACATCCCCTCCTTTCATCCCACCTCTTAGAGTCAGTCACTGATTGATTACAAAATCATCAAAAGATGTCATTTTTAAACTGCAATACACATCTATGTTCTGTAGCAATAAAGTGTTTTCAGTGACTTAAATAAGTGTCAAGAAGTCTGATCACAAGGTCAATATTGTTTTGATCTGTAGTTACCAAGAAAAAACAAAGCTTTTAAAAGATTTACTACATTTTAAATGACAAATGACTTCACAACCAAACAATAGTTATTTCTTACACCCATATACATTGCCTTGTTACTAGACACATAGAAATGCTGTATTGTATTCTTAGACCAGTTTCACAGCCTACCAACAAATATTTTTGGATCTCTTTCAAGAGTCCCAAATACTTTGACCCACACCCACCTTTTTCTGAAAGTTTCAAGGTGTGTCTTGAGAAGTAACAATCCTCTCTGGATAATCAAAAGACTTGCTTCTTCACAATCTTCAAGGTTTTGTGAAGCATCTACTAGACTGTCCATGCATCGATGGATAAACTCTTCTTCCTTCTCCAGTGTGCCATTCCCAGCTACAAAACACAAACATATATTTGTGATATCGACAGCTCTACTGTGTACAACTGCTCTATATCCAATATAAGGGAAAGCACACTTCTTTGGAAAGTACAACCCCAGTCATTTGTTATAGTTAAGGGTTTCACAAGTCAAGTACAATACTTGCTCTTTTAGAAAAGTATCTCTAAACAAAGTAGTGATAAACAATCAAGTATCATGGTCAATTTGTTTCATGTGAAATGGTTTCGTGTCAATTATCGTTTTCATCCAAGACAAAGAAGTAAACGCAAGTGTGGGATTCCTGGCATCTTACCTTCAATATAGAATGAATTTATATATTGTATTGCTGACATACTGACATCAGTATCTTGTGCTCTTAATGCAATGCTCCATAATTGATCCATACCACTCATCTAACATTATAAGGAAGAGAGGAAATCTCACAATTACAGATGCACTCAGAATTCACTCAAATCAATTTACTTGCATTATTATGGCATAAATATAGTGAAATACAGGTATTACATTAAGATAAGTCCTTGTTATTTGAAGTGCTCTGTGGTAATTGCCAACAACTGCAAGTCATTGAATGGAAAGCCAAATTATCAGATATATTGACAATTGTTAACACGTTGAGTACCACTTTAAAATGTGATTTTGTTGAAGTAGTCTTTTCCACCACTACAGCTAAACAGATTGTATTCTTTTTCTATTACAAGAATAAATAATATCCAAACAGATTGTATTCTTTTTCTATCACGAGAATAAATAATATCCAAACATTTTCTATGTTAACACTGTTAAAGATATACTTGCAAGACTTACATCAGTACTAGTTCCATCATAACTTGAATTAGCTATTCTTGCAAGACTACACAGCTGATGAAATAAATTAAGACCAGTCATGCTGATTGTTTCAGGATTCAATTGCGGCATCTGTAGAAAAAAACAAACAATGGCAAATGTTTTAGTGATTTCAGAAAAACGAACCCTGGCAATTCACAATAGTGAAAATATCAATAAATGTCAATACATAGATTTCTCACCTTTTCGTAAAATATATGTTTGAACGTCTCTAAACCCATGGCATGTTGGTCTTTATTTCTTGCCTGATTGAGGAACCAGTTTAGAGTTTCATCACTGCATTCTGAGTCAGTAACCATACATGACCACAGAGTATCCACTTGCTCCATTGTTAACCCTGAATCAAAAAGTTGAAAACACAAATACTGTATCAGGAACAAAACATTTGATAACTGCATGTAGTTTGGCCAAATAAATATTAGTTACAGTTTTTAAAGACCAAATTTACTTGTGTGATAACTGAATGAGTTGTAATGTACAGAATTTTACAAATTTCAATGGCATCGAGACAGCTGGAGGATTAATCTTTAACAAAAATTAATTTCCAGCTACCAGCATGCCATGTTACCTGACTAAAGACTGTATGTTTACATATTTGGTGCATCAATGTTCTTTTTGTCAGGAGTTTACAAGGAATAACAAATATGCAAAAAATCAGTCATCAATGACAATTTCACAAACCAGGGCAATCAATCCAAAAGGGACTTATCTCAGCTGACAGATAGGAACAGGGCTAAAGTCTAATTATATCCATGTAGTAGAATTTTGTTTGTGGGGTAAAAAAAGAAAGAAAAAATTGTTTTATTGTCCAGGGCAAATTTTAAAATGATGCGGTAAGAAGATTTTAATTTTTTTATATTAAATTTATTCAATAACACAAAACAAGATACATGTTCAACATTTAGCATATATTGCTTTTGAATACATGGGCAAAAAAATCGATTTGAATCCACAAAAAATTGTGAAGCACATTCAAGCCTTATTTGCCCAAAGCACAGATCCATGGATCATGACTAAAGACAACAAAATAAATAACAAACTTACGGAAATCATCGGGTGATCCAAGAGTAGAAAATACACATGTCAAGAATTGTAATCTGGCTTGTACTTCTATGGTATGGCTATACCTGTATGGAAAAAGGAAACATTTGGGATAATCGTAGCCAATGAAACAACAATCACTGATGGACAATACGAGATATTATGAATACTTACAATTCTTTATCAAAATTCAGTTTCTTTCTGGTTTCAGTATAGCACCTTAGATCATTAAAAAAATGCTCCATCATATGTAGCTCTCTTTCAGCCCAACTAAAAGAATGACATAAATTTTTATTTTACACAAGTAGATTAAGCATGCAACAAAATCAAATCATGTCATGCAACAGCCAATTAAAGAATTAAAATGCACTGTTTAATTACTTATGCAAAGGTGCAATCTAGTTCCAAGTTGGTGAATGACATGCACATCAATGGGCAAATGTTTACCCTAATTTTCAAAAAAATAAAAAATACACATTTCCAGTTCACGATACTGTAAATTAACAGTTTACCTGCAAGCACTCAATGGTATATCAACTTGATACTTTGGATTATTTTAATTCTTGTCTATCAACTAACTATGAACAATGACCACATTATGGCGAACAATTCAGACAAAAATATTACATTACACAGAAACCCACAATTGGTTTATTGTCGTATAAGATTTAGATGGATTAGTTCATCTGAAATTGTTGATCAGCCATGGTAATGTGGAGACGGCCGACCATCTTTGATTATGATAAAATTGTGACTCATTTATTTAAGGTAGAGATGCAGGTTGGGAGACTATATTTCTAATTGCCTTTAATTACTGTAATTACATGAGTAAAATATACTTTTTACCAATCAAGTTATATATCATTTGAAAGAGTTTTATTTAAACTTTTGAGTTTTATGGTGTACAATAATGTACAATGATACCATATTAAGTGGTGTTGATTTTGGGTTAAAATCATGCATTTTAGGTGAAAGAGCACTTAAAACTATTTAACTCTTGAATGCATACCCTGATTTTAATTTAAGAACACTTATTTAAAACTTCTGTTTACTAGGAACATAATGGCTTATTTATTAGTGCTTCCATTGAAAAGTTTTTACACAGTGCTCTTTGAAACATTCACATTTTATAAATCGTCCACAGTTAACAGAGCAGAGCCGCTAATTGGCAGCTCTATTGTTTCTGTTTCTGAAAATTTCATCGAAAACAAATGAACCGTCTAGAAGTTAAATAGTTTTAAAGTTGAAATTTGGAGTAAAAAATGAAACTGAGATAATCGCCATTTTGTACAAAAAAAATTTAAAACGAATTATTCGCTTCATATGTGTAACAGAAACTCCTAGAAATACACCATAAACCGTAATTTGCCGATGTTAAATCGTCAGGTAAAAAAAATAAAATAAAAACATTTACAATTCGAGGGCAACGGACAAAAAAAAACATCCGCGAAGTCTCAACCTAGCGTGAAAACTGTCATGGCGTCGTGTTATCAATTCCACTGAGGGAGGGGCACAATGGATTACGTAAAGCCGATGACTTATTCATACAGTTATATAAACATAGCGATCGCCATTGTATGGGTTGTGTCTAAATTTACCTTCCCTCAAACCTTTAAAAAATACTTTGTATGACGCAGTTTTGGCATCGCAGAGTGCATGATTTTTCCGCGGTGTTTAAAAACAGCATCTCATTGCCGATTTTTCGGTAATTCCCAGGGTATTTTTTTTATTTTTAATTAACCGAGCATTTTATGTTTGTGTATTTTGGCACTGAAAAGTTAGTTATCGATGACAGCAACAGCAGTGTTGTTTGTCAATTGCATCACAATTCTATCAGCACGATAATCATTACATCGAAACGAAAAATGTTTACTTCAGTTTTAAAATGCTGTTGGAGTAAAAATTTGTGGAAACATTTTTTAGTTTCGCCCACAATGCGAAAAAGCTTGAAATCTATGCACCAAGAAAACAAGAAAAATTGTGGCCTTGTTTTGCGCAAAAATTAAATCGCCCTATCGACGCTAACTCCTACATGAAAATAAATGAAAAAACAATTTATTTAAGGGTGAAAAATTTTACTTATCAGTTACAAGTGTATGTTTTGTTTCATTCTGCTTGCATGCTGGAAGCGTCTACGTCTTGTCTGTTTTTGTAGTTTGCTAGTTAATCGCGCTTGAGGTAAGTAAACAGAGAGAGCCAGGACAGGAAGTCGCACACTGGCTGCTCTGTAACTGGGGCCAGCATCATTTGCATATAACATCAACGGTGACTTGTCAATCAAAGAGCAACGCAAACAAACTTTCGGGACTTTTAATCACATAGCGTGCCTCGGTTTCCTATATTTTAAAATTGATTTTTGAGTATGTTCCAACAATTACAATGCTCCGAAATTTTAACACTATCTAGCCAAGACTGTCTGGGTGAGAAAAAGCAAAAAAAAAAATTCACGAAAAAATGCCCACGAACCTGCATCTCT